CTGGGTCACCAGCCAGAGGGTTCCTGCTGGGGCTGGCTGGGGTAGGGTTAATTTCCTCCGTGGCAGGCAGCCTGTGTTGGGCAAGGAGTGCTTCCCTGCCTAGCCATGGGGTGAGGGAGTTTGGGCTCCAATGAAGACTTCTACCTTGATGTGTAGCCAGGCCCTGGGGCAGCTGCTGAGAAAATCACCTGCAGCTCCGATGTCCAGGGCAGTAAAAACCACAGCAATTATGTGAAGGGTAAAAAACCTCCTGTATCCTTAGGTGATGGGTTTGGAGAAGCCTGTGCCTCCCCTTGGAGGAAATGCATTTCTTGTCCAGCAGGAGCCCGGCCAGAGAAGCCCCTGGCAGCCCTTCTGGAGGGAACAAGGGCTTCAGGTGGGGCAGGAGCATCCCGGGCAGGGCCCTGCTTTGGAAACCTGGTGGGAAAACAAGTCAAGTTCCAACCCTCCTGGCCTTCAGGCTCCGTGTGCCGTTTCCTCATCCTTGGAGATGCTGGAGGGATCAGGAGCCCCGCGGATGCTCCAGAGGGTGAAGGGGAGCAGCCACGTGGAGCCCGTGGGCAGAGGTGCCCTGGGATGGAGCAGCTGGCAGGGCCTTGCTGCAGGGGGGAGCAGATTCCTGCACAGGTTCTGCTGGTTTGGGGACCATTCAGTAATTAAGTGCCAGAGCTGCTGGGAACCTGCACTGGTGTCCCACGGGATGGGTGTGGGGTATGTGACAGGGGGGTTTGTGTTACAAACCTGGGGTTTTTTTCTCTCACAAAGTGAGAAGGTTCTGGTTTGCTCCCCAGGGTGTTCATGCCATGGCTGGTTAGCTCAGTCCCACAGAAGATGCTCAGGAAGAGCCGGTAAGACACAAATCCAGTGTGTGCTAACTGGGCAGAGACACAACAAACATCTTACATTTACATGAAAATTCTACACTCGGTGAGCCCTGTGTACTTGGGTCTTCTCTCTCCTAAATTTAAACTCCCAAGGAGACTCTGGGCACAGCATGTGCTTTCCTCCAGAGCCACTTCCCCAGCCAGCACGAAGGTGAGTGTAGGAGGAGCTGGTCCAGGGTTAAACCTGATCAGTCATCAGGTGTGAACCTGACCCAGATGTGGAGCTGCTCCTCATCTCTCTTACTGGTCAGGGGATGTGAGGGGATGTTCCGCGTTGTCTTTGCAATCACTGAACTGGACCCTCAGGTGTGTCCTTGTCTGTTGGCCACGTGCTTCCCTGCTCCCTGTCCCATTCCATGGGATAAGTGCCAGAGCTTCCCCCCAGCCCAGGGCTGCTGCTCCAGCCCCTTCTTAATGTCAGAACCTCCAGTAACAAATTGCTTGATTTTTCCAGGCCAGCTCTGCTGGTCGGGGTGATTCCAGGCTCTAGAGCTGGCCATTTGTTTCAGCTTTTACTCAGTACATTTTGCTCCAAAGCAACTTAAAATGCATTAGTGTCACAAGTGAGGAGCTGCACAGGAGCCCTGGGTGGCTCAGCCCTGTCTTCTTGTCACTTCTCCTATTGTCTGGGGACATTCCTGTAGCAGGGGCAGGCAGCTGCCTGCCTGATCAGGTTTCCCCCTGATTTTTTTTTAATTTTTTTTTTCTTGGCTGGAGGCTGGGAATTGATGCTGATGATCTCAGAGGGATGTGTCACTGCCAGGGGTGACAGTGGCACATGGTGGGTGGGCCCCACACTCCATCCTCCCACTGCCCAGCAGGGAGGGGAGGTGGGAACAGAAGCACAGGTGAGTTTGTGGAAATGATGAGCGTGTTGTGATGCAATTAAAAAACACCCCCTGTAATTGCTGTAATTTATATACACCTACAAAATAACCAGCTGGTGTAATCAAAACTTCTAGTCTATTTTATTTGTTTCAGCAAATGAGGCAGAAGGAAATGGCTCCATCTGCATTTCCACGTGCTGCTCGAGGGTCTGCGGCAGTCGGGGCACCTCGCCAGGGAAACCTGCAGAGCCAGGGAGCAGGGAACAGGGAGCAGGGAACAGGGAACAGGGAGCAGGGAGCAGGGAACAGGGAGCAGGGAACAGGGAGCAGGGAACAGGGAACAGGGAGCAGGGGGCAGGGAGCAGGGAGCAGGGAGCAGGGAACAGGGAACAGGGAGCAGGGGGCAGGGAACAGGGAACAGGGAGCAGGGAGCAGGGAGCAGGGAGCAGGGAACAGGGAGCAGGGAGCAGGTAACAGGGAGCAGGGAGCAGGGAACAGGCAGGGGCTGGGGCCACGGGGTTGGAGCCATAGTTAGTGCCACACGCTGGCACCGCCGTGGGGTCAGCCAGAGCTT